CCCAGCCCCAGCCTGCAAGCGTCATGCGGCATGCTTTAAGAATAAATATAAAGCCTTTGACCTCTAAAATTATTGTTACAAGAAAAGTATTTTTAAAACGTGTCTTTTAGGGTATAGGTTATAAATTTTAAAAAATTAAAAAATAATATATAATTTATTAATTACTTAATTAAATTTATTCACATAACATTAATTTTAAAATTAATATTTAGTTTTATAATTTTTTATATAAACTTATTATAAAAAAAAGTAAAGATACAAATTAAAAAATTCTTTACCCAAAAAGATACAGAGGAAGTGTTGCCTATAGAATTAATTACTTCATTTATTCAAAAATAATTGTTATTTTTTTCAGTTTTTAGGTTAAGTTGGAATCCCTTTCGCTAAAAAAGTTATAACTTATTCAAAAAAAAAAAATTGTTATTTTTTATTTTTTAAAATTCAAAATTTAAAGATACTATTTATATTTTTTTAACAACGAGATACCATTTATATTTTAACTATATACAAAATTATTGTAATAATAAAATTTTAAATACATATAAAATTATTGTAACAATAAAATTTTTCTTAAAAATTTTAAATAAATACCCATTGAAACTTTAAAAAATCCTTAAGAAAATCCCTTTGTAGTGGATCCATCGAACTTTTTCTTCAAATTAAATAAAAGCAGAATTTAAAGTTTATATTAGGAAAAATGCTCTAACTAAATTTCTCCTAAATGTATTAGATTTTTTAAAAATGCCTATAATACTATTTTTTTGAAAAATAATTAAAATATTAAATACTCATTAATTTTAGTTAAATAAATATTAAAATTTTAAAAAATAAATGAAACTCTCTCATCTTTTATTGCTTTGATTAATTATTTTTATTTCTTATAACTAAACCCAATTTAAAATTTCAGTTTTGATTATCAAAATTTTAATTTTTTTAATATGGTCCATTCAATCAACAAACTTCTTTTGATTTTTTTTTTAAATATTTATTTGAAATATTGAGTGATTTAGAATTAAACAAAATACATTCACCTCTAATAATAAAAAATATACTAAAAAAGTTGTGCAGAAAGTGTCTTGATTGTTATTTTTTAATTTTATGGTAATTTATTTAACTAATATTAATAAAAATGTAATATTTTAACTATTACATTTCAAAAGGATATTATAGACATTATAAAAATTCTTAATATACTTATAATAAATTTTTTTAGAGTATTGTTACTTACATAAGATTACAAATTGCACCTTCATTAAATAATAAAGAAAAATTTAGTGAGTGTACCTAAAGGAATTTTTCCAAAATCCTGAATAAACATTCAATAAATTTTTAAAAAATCTTTAATAAATATCTAATGAGCTTTAAAAAAAACATTTATTAGAAAGTAATTCAAATCTAACATATTACTATTGAAATATATCAAATCTTACTAAGATTTAATTTTTTTATAAAATTTATTCACGATTCTTCATGGGTAGGATTTGCTTTAACTTATTTTTTAATATCTTTCTAATTTTAAGATAAAAAATATATATCTTTCTAATTTTATAGCGTTTGAATTACGATTTATTTCCTATTTATACAGATAGATGGAAAAAGAAAAAAGCAGAGGGAAAAGCAGTCACCAGAAAGGGGAGAGAAAGGGGGAAAAAAAAAACCTGAAATGGATTCTATAGGCTTCAAATTTCTTCTTTCTTTCTCTCTTTTTTTTTTTTTTTTTTTTTTTTGTCTAGATACCTTTTTTTTTTAGTCTAGGTGCGTAGATTTTTATCCCATTAGAATATTTCTATGAATTTTCTTTGCTTTTATTTTTTTAAACCAAAGTTCTCTGATTGTTCGATTTTTTGCTTATGATCATCAAATTTTAAATTTTAGATGTATGATTAAATTTATGTAATCTTTTTTTAGATTGTAACATGCTCTTTGTTTTAGGATTTATATCATAATTCAAATTTATTAAGTGAATACTGTATATAGTTGGTCTTAGGATGCAAAATGCAAGCCAAAGTTGATGTTATTAGGGAATGAAAAATCAATGGAAAAATCTAAGCATCATCTCTAGCTCAGTTCATGTTATTTTCTTGGTATTTTTGCATGCTTCACAAGAATATCTTAAGTTTTATGTTAATTTCAATCAATTTTCTTAATTGGTTTTATAGAGCCAATGAATCTTTAACCTAGTAGAAAAGACTTATGGCTTATTTGGTTTGATTGGGGGGAAAAGAAGGGGTAGAGGAAAAATTATTATAAATAATTGATTATTTTACTAACCCAAAATTTAATTTAAATAGTTGAAATAACACCACCTCCTCTCCAATCGTATTCCTTTTCGTTCTATCAAAATAGGTTATTTAGAGAAAATAAAAAATAAAAAAGATATTAATTTTATATTTTTATTTAAAAATATTAAATTTATTAATTTTTAACTCTTTTTTTATTTATTTAAGCCCGTTGGCGTATCGTACTATAGATGGGCACCGACAAGGCATGATACCCTTCCAAAGATTTTTTCGGTTGCCATAATCTTTTGGCAACGATTTTTATTGCCAACACCATGCCGAAGGGAATTTTTGGTTTTTTTTTTGGTGATTTACAGATCAAATGCCAAAATCCTCTACCATTAATATCATATCAATATTTGCCAAATCCATTTGATATAAGTTTTTTTTTATATTAACTTTTTAATATTCAATAATTACATTGAATGATTTATATCCTAATTAATTTAAAATCAAGTCGTATTAAATCTTATAAAGAGAAGTCTCATTAATACCTGTTTCTTTATTCATAATAGTCCAACTTAAAATTTGATTTAAATAAATTGAATTCATTATACTCGGACTTATAAATTATTTGTCCACTTGATACAAATTGTTTATTTACAAATTTAAAGTATTATGTAATTTTATAAAAAATTTCAATTTGTAATAAAATTATTTCAAGAAAAATTGATATGTCATATCTATGATGAAAATAACTATAGGCCTTGAATTTTTAACTTAAGTTAAGAGAAAAAAATTAAAAAAAAAATCAGGACGAAATCCAGCAGTCATGGTAAAGACACCTCCTGCTATTACTGTACAATAACAGATTTATCATTATCAATTATAACCGAAGATGGTCGGAGTTTCGAGTTCCACCAGTGTCGTGAACTCCATAAAAAAGTGGTATGATGGTCATTCGTCTCATTTGAGGGGGTAAAATGTTCACTCGATTTGAGAATAAGTTGCTAACAACTAACTTATATTAACTTTCTAATTATTATCCTTGTGAAAAAAAAAATTATAACCGAAGATGGTCGGAGTTTCGAGTTCTACCACTGTTGTGAACTCCATAAAAAAGTGGTCTGATGGTCATTCGTCTCATTTGAGGGGGTAAAATGTTCACTCGATTTGAGAATAAGTTGCTAACAACTAACTTATACTAACTTTCTAATTATTATCCTCGTGAAAAAAAAAAATTATAACCGAAGATGTCATGGCCCCAGGGGCTTTGAGGTTATTGTCGCCAAATTTTTTTAAAGGTTATTAATTTTAATTAAAATTTTATTAATTTATAATTTT